ATGGAGTCTACTCTGTTGCCCAGGCTGGAATGCAGTGGTGTGATCTCAGCTCACTGCAACCTCCACCTCCCAGGTTCAAGCAATTCTTGTGCCTCAGCCTCCCCAGTAGCTGAGATTACAGGCACCTGGTACCATGCCCTGCTTTTTCTTTTTATTTTTTTAGTAGAGACAGGTCTTGCCATGTTGGCCAGGCTGGTCTCCAATTCCTGACCTCAGGTGATCTGCCTGCCTCGGCCTCCCAAAGTGCTAGGATTACTGGCGTGAGCCACTGTGCCAAGCTTTTTTTTTTTTTCCTTTTTTTTTTTTTTTTTGAGATGCTCTTCTGTTACTCAGGCTGGATGGAGAACAGTGGTGCCATCATGGCTCACTGCAGCCTCCATCTCCCAGGCTCAAGAGATCCTCTGACCTCAGCCTCTTAGGTAGCTGGGATGACACGTGTGTACCAGCACAAGCAGCTAATTTTTTGTAGAGATTGGGGTCTCCCTATGTTGCCCAAGCTGGTCCAGAAATGCTGGGCTCAAGTGAGCCACTGACCTTGGCCTCCCAAAGTGCTATGATTACAGGTCTTACGTTCTTAAAATTTTTCTTTGACATGATGAAGGATAGCCTAGTAACGTAACATACTGTTGTTTTCAACAGGCTATCGCTTATGATTTGTAAAAGAACTCTTCAGAAATGAACTCAATTTTACCATGAATTGGGACACTTTCCATCTCTTTCTATTCTATAGAGCAGTTAACTTGTCATGAGCTCTGTCTTGAAAACTTGAAAGCCTGCAACAATCAAACCAGCTGCACCTAGTGCATGGGATGGGCATGGAATTGAGGAGAGAGTTCAAACTATGGTCAGCCCTCTGTATCCTCGGGTTCTGGATCCTTGGATTTAACCAACTGTGCATCAAAAATATTTGGAAAAAGTAAAACAAAAACAAAAATTTATAAATACTTTATCACAGGTACTTACAAAGTATGTTGTATTAGATATTATAGTAATCTAGAGATGATATATAGTAATAAATCATAATATATGATAACTATATCATATAATAATAATATAGTAATCTAGAGATGATTTAAAGTATACGGAAGGATGTGCATAAGTTATATGCAAATACTATGCCACATTATATCAGGGACTTGAGCATCTGTGAATTTTGGTATCTCTTGGTCCTGGAACCAATATCCTGAGGTTACTAAAGGACGACTGTGTTCAATTTCTTCTTTGGTGATTAGTCTATTCTGTAATGCATTTTTGTTGTTTTGTTTTTCAGTTTTTGCCTCTTCAAGTCAAGGTCAGAAACTTAGTTGTTCTAGACTACACATTAGCTCAAAGCTACCAGTAAGCACACTACTACTGCAATCTAAGCAACCGATTTTTTTTCTCCATCTGATTGGCAAAAATTAGATAAGCATCTATCGATGTCACAGCTGTAGGGAGTTTTCCTGAGCATGTTAATTATGACAGCCCTTTTTGCTAGGCACCTAGACGATTCATCAAAATGAAATAAAATACCCACACACTTAAAGAAGTTATCTGGTTATTTCCTTATCTGGGTGCTGGTTATGTGAGGTCTACAGTTGATGAAAACTTATTAAGCTTTATATTTATAATAGGTACAATTTTTTGTATGTGTAGTGTAGTTCAATAGTTTTTAAAATGTCTTTTGCCACAGTCCGCAGCTGTGTATAATGCCATTCACTTAACAGTGTAAAACATGACAATGACCTGAATCTCCCTGGCTCCCGGGATCCTACCCCCTTAAGTTAAACAAATAACTTCCACTGTCAGGTAAACGGGCGGTTGGCGCTGGTTTTTTTCCAGGGAAGGATTCTGGGAGAAGGAGGGGACGCTAGCACTTCCTCCCTGACACTTCCGGTGGGCTGCGGTCCGCTCTCCACCTCAATTCTAGCAGCCCCCTCTCTCCCAGAGGGCGTTAGTCCCAGTCACGTGATAATCGACTCAGTTGACCCGGGGCGCCACCGGGAAAAGAAATTCCCGGGCCCTGGCTTCCTGGCGAGATGATGAGGCATCGGGGGTGAAGCGAGGCATGGGATGCTGGAGCGGGAATGAGGGGGCGCCAGTGTCTCCGGAAAAGGGTGGAGGTTGTCTGCCCTGGCCTCTCCGCAAACATAGTGTGTGCGGGCGTGAGGGCTGTGGGTCTGGTAGAGAAAAGTCCACCGCCACCCCGCTCCTGAGACGGGGTGCATGGGTAGGGGACGGGTAAGACAGAGCAGGCCAGCCGGCTCAGAGTCCCCGTGCTTCCCTGGCGTGGCGGAAGGAAGGGCCCCTGCCTCCCGGGGCAGGAAGTGGGGCTTGTCTGGAGCTGGGAGTCCTTTCAGGTCCCAGCCCCAGGAGGACCTCCCAAGGACACCCCCTTCCCCAGCCCTGCTGTGGGGCTTGTACAAGAACGTGCTTAGAATCAGGCTGACTTTTGCACACTATTAGGAATCCCTTCGTCTCTTTCCAGACCCAGAAAGTAGTAGTTTTGGGGTTGAGACTTAGGCATCCATCCATCTGCACGTTCTAAGCGCCTAGTCTATACTATGAAGTGTGCTAAGCACTGGAGGACTCGAGCTTCCAGGGAAGGGGAAATCGGAGGCTTGAATTGGCAGTCATAGTTAAGGTTCCAGGGGCAGAGACCTAACTGCGCCTTGTGTGTAGTGCTAAGGCGGCTCCATGAGGATGCCATCAACCTTAAAGGCGGGTGGCAGGAGCTGGTGGCTGAAGTATAGTTTGTGTACCGGGGGTTGGGAGGCAAGGGTGGGAGGTGTGTGTCTTCAGACAGGGAACAGCATGTGCAGAGACTTCAGGTGAGAGAGAGCATGGCTCCCCAGGAATGAATGCATTTCCCATAGCTGGGAGAGTATCATCTGGAGGTTAGAGAAAGATGAGGCTGGACAAGTAAAGACCAAATCTTCCTGGCTTTTGGATCACCACAGTCAAGATAATGAACACATCCACCGGCCCCCAAAATTTCCTTATGTCAGGGGCTATTTTAGGAAGTATGACCATGAAGGGCCAGCCTGCCAGGGTGCAATGACTCACGCCTATAATCCTAGCATTTTGGGAGGCTGAGGTGTGCAGGTGACCTGAGGTCAGGAGTTTGAGATCAGCATGGCCAACGTGGTGAAATCATGTCTCTATTCAAAATTTTAAAAAGCCAGGCGTGATGGCACATGCTTGTAGTCCCAGCTACTTGGGAGGCTGAGGCAGGAGAATTGCTTGAACCTGGGAGGTGGAGGTTGCAGTGAGTCAAGATTGCACCATTGCACTCCAGCCTGGGCAATAGAGCGAGACTCTGTCTTAAAACAAAAAATCCGGGGGCGGGGTTGGGGGGGCGGGCTGGTCTGATAAAGTATCACTTGAGCAGAGAGTGGAATGAAATAAAGGATAGCAAGCCATGTACAGAGTACAGCAGGCATGGAGGAGGGAGCAAGGCCGGTGTCCCCGAGCAGCAGCAGGGAAGCCGGAGTGGCTGGACTTGTGTGGGTATGGGGAAGAGGGGAGAGAGGTCACTCATCTCTGAGAGGCCCGGGACTTTGTTTTGTCCCCTGCTGTACCCCAGCACTTAGAGTGGGAGCTGGCACAGAGAAGGCACTCAATTGATGTTTGCTGAGCAGACAAATGCCTGGAGTAGACATCAGAGCAGGGTTTGGTGGCAGGGTGGGTCAGGAGAGAGTTCACTCAACAGCCTGGTGATAGGGGAGAACAAGAGGCCAGAGGGTATCCATCTATGATGGGGACCAGGGGTCCCCGCTGGGCAGCAGTGTGGGAGACACACAGATCCTGGCCACACCTCAGCCCTCCCTCCCTTGCAGAGGTTCCGGTTCTCTGGTGATCTGGACCGTCCCGACTGGGTCCTGGCTGAGGTCAACACACTGGCCAAGATGGTTGAGTGCACAGGGTCTACTCTGGGTGGAGAAGGGGCGCTGGGCTGGGGATTGTGGGTTTAGATGATGGTGAGGTTTCTCTGGGGTTAGGGCCTCAGTGCTCTAAGCCTGTGTTACCATGCTTTGTGACCGTGATCAGTGGCTGGCCTGCTCTGAGCCAGTCCCCAGGAAGGAGGCGTGAGGTTTACCAGCCTGGCTGATTTAAGGAATTCTCTTGCAGTCCTCTGTGAAGTTGTGGCTACTCTGCAGCCAGGTACTAAAGAGCTGCTGGGACGGGGGATTGATGTGACTACAACACCCAGCACCCCACTGTCCCATGACCTTATGACCCCCAGTGCCCTGAAACTCTGCACTAGGCCCAGGGAAATGGGTAACCCAGTCTGTCAGCCTCTCTGGGCACCTCCCATACTTCTTTCCAGCCTATCTGTTCCTTATCGCAGGACCCAGGCTGTGGATGAGGGGCTGGTGAACAGGGGCATGGCACCCTCTTAAGGTCACCTTTCCCCATGGTATGAAAACATTCTGAAGCTCAAGGCTGATGCCAAGTTTGGTGAGTACTCCGCTGAGTCCACAGGCCCCAGGCAGCCTTGGGACCTCGACCTGGTGCTTGGTACAGAGGGGCCCCACCACCCCTCCCAGCAGCATCCTTAACTTACCTTCCCTAGTGGAGAAGCATGAGGGAAAGAAAGACATTGACAGTCCCACCTTCCTGTTCTCTGCCAGCTCCTGGTGTAGCAGTAGTAGTGCCTGTGGCTTCAGGGGGCCTGGGAGCTTTGAGCTGAAGTTAATAGGGCAACAGGGAGGTGGCTGGGCCCATAGTGACACCCCCTGTCCCACCCATGGGTCCTTCAGAGTCAGGCAATGTGAAGGCCACAGTGGCAGTGCTGAGTTTTGTCCTCTCCAGTGTGGCCAAGCACAGTGTCGATGGCGGATGCTTGTCCAGTGAAGTGCAGCAGCTGGGGCTGCCCAAAGGTACGGGTTGTGGGTGGGCAGCCGGGCAGCCTGTGGGCCAACGGCTGCTAGAGAAGGGGCCAGGCCCTGTGACCCTATGGTGTACCCTGCCCTGTCTGGGCCAGGAACCCAAGCCCAGCTCTCACCTGTTACCTCTAGAGCTACTCCGTTCTACCCCCAGAGCACGTGGCCAGCCTGTGCCACTCTTATGAGGAGAAGCAAAGCCCCTTGCAGAAGCACTTGGGGCCTTCAACCTACGCAGTAAGTATGAGCCCAGCCAGTGTCCGCGCTCATTCTAGAAGGTGCACGCAGCATGCAAAGTGCATGGAGAGTCCAGGGAGACGACTTAACCACGGTCACATGCCCAGCAGCTGCAGAGCTGGGACCTGGCCCTGGGTCTCCTGAATCCACGGACTCTGTGGTATGTACGTACAGGATCAGACCTTGCCCTTTCCTCCTAGCTGACCCTTTCCTAGTCCCCCATGCCCCATGTGTGAGCACCCAGCTCACTCTCGTTTCTCCCTCTGCAGAGGGTGGTCCCTGGCAGCATGAGTGGGAGAAGGGGCAGCAGAGACTGTGGACCCCTCAGCTGCACCTAAGACCTCTGTGTGGTCTAGCTGTGTGTGCTGGGGGAGGCTTTTGGCCACCATTTCCCCCTCTGTAAATGAGACCGATACCTGTGTGAGTGCCAAGGCCGGTGTGAGTGCCAAGCACTAGGAGCAGGGCCCTGAGTGAGCATGGACGTGGGAGCAGGGGTGTTCCTCGACTTTATACACCTTGGGGGTGGGAGTGGGGCTCCCTGCATGGGTTGACAAGGCATTGCTTTTCCCCACCCCACCTCTGTCCCAGCCCTGCAAGTCCAATCCTTGGGGGTCTAGGAGGGAAGAAGCCCCTGGCTGTGTGACCTTAGGCTGGTGCCTGGCCCTCTCTGGCTCTGAGTTTCTGGGAAAGTCAGCACCCAAGGAACGCCCTCCAGTTTAGCACCTTGACAAGAAAGGTGGGGACACTGGGATCAGGTCCACCCCTCTGGTCCCAAACCTCTTGGCCCCAGCTGGAGGATGAGGAGATGCTGGGCTTGGGTGGGGGAATCAGGGGTGTAAAGGGGCCTGCTCACCCTTCAGCTTGGCTCAAAGGCTCAAGGCATCAAAGGCTCAGCCTGCCCCTCAGGAAGCAGCCCGGGCCCAGCGAGACACTCACCAGGACAAGGGCAACTGTGACGAGCAGGAGGCCCAGGATTAGGAGAGCCACGGCATAGCTGGAGGTGAAGGTGTCCAGGGGGCTGGAGGCTTTGGGGCTAGGAGAGCCTAGAGCAGAGCAAGAAGGCTATGACCAGGCAAGGCGCTGCCTCGGACTTCTCAGAAGGCAGAATCTGCACCCAGAAGGTGCTGCGGGAACAGAGAGCTGGGGCTGGAAGCACCTTGGAGGGCTCCACGAGGAGGGAAGGCAGGCTTCAGATCAGGGCATGCGGAGGCAGCAAGTCCAAGGGAGGAGGCAGATGGACAGAGGGAGGGGGCCTGCAGAGGGGAAGAGGTACTGACCGAGGTCTAGGATGACCGTGTCTACCAAGAGGCCCTCTGCCTCCCCCACGGTGTGCAGACCCTGTCACACACAGTCTCACACGAGGGCCTGGGCTGGCGCTGCCCTGAAGAAGGTGGCAACCAATCTGGTGGTCAGTGGGTCCGGCCTAGTGGGACGATCATGACAGACTTCAGGGGCCTGGGCAGCCTTAGAGGACTAGGGTAGGTCATCTCTTCCAGCCTCGTGCCCTCAACCCCAGAACCCTGGTCTGAGTCCTGGGTCACCCAGGACCACCCTGGACCCACTGGAATTCGTCCAGCACCACTTGGTCAAAGTTCTGCAGAGATCTGAGGACAAGGGTCAGCTGGGGGTCAGGAGAGGATGAAGAGGGTCACAGCTCTACCAGACGAAGCCTCATTCCTTGTGGCGCCCGGCCCACCCCTCTGATGTGGGCCCTAAACCTCCGGCTGGCCCAGCCCTGCAGAGTAGGTGCCCAAAGGCATCTGTAGCCATTCCCGTCATGCTGGTCTCCCCCAGGGCCCCTTCTGGAACCTGTTACCACAGATCTCACGGTGGGGGGTACAGCTCAGTCTCCTTTCCTTCTCATCCCCCTCATAGGGGCTTTGTCCACTAAGGCCCCTGACTGCTAGGGGACCCACACCCATGGCCTCCTTCTTTCTGACTGCTGGCCCTTCCACAGCCTGGATACTTGAGCCCTGGGCAGAGGGGTAATAATCCCAGGACTGTCTTCACAGGCAGAGAGGGTACTTGGCACCAGGCCCTGACTCCTTGCGCTGAGCTCAGCAGCAGGCGTGTCACCAAGGCCCCCTTGGCAGAAGGGGCTTAGCCCTGACAGCCAATCACTCGCCATCCCTGTGTGTTCTTGCTAGGCATCCACCCTGGGGACCCAGCTTTCCCCCTGCCCCCAGCTGCTGGCAGCCCCTTCTTGACTCATCCAGGGTCCTGGAGGCCGCTCCAGGTCGCAGCCAGCAGCTGGGAGGGGCACTTGGTGTTTCTGCATCTTTTTTTATGGAGCTCCCTTCAGTGGGAAGGGCTACAGACTCAAGGGAGACTGCAGGCCACCCCTTCCCCACTCCCTGGCTGGGTGGGCTTCCAGCTCAGGAGTCTGACTGGAAGGACGGGACCGTCCTGTCACAGAGGCAGGTCTGAGTAGTCCAGGCCCAGTTTTACCCTCCAGCAGGGCCCCTCCCATTCACTTGTCCAGCTGGCTTTGCCCAAATCACAAGTGATGTCTACGTGGATTGTGTCCCCTGTCCCCAAGGGGAGTCTGGCTCCAGTCCTGGCTTGGAACTTGGAGACCTTAGAATTAGAGGCCACATCTGGCAGGGTGGACCAGCATGGTCTGTCCACAGCCAGGGCAGGTACCATGTTGCAGCCCCAGACCTGACACCACTGCTCCCGTGTCCCCTCTCCACTTCCGTCCTGCACACTACCTGCACTACATGCTGTCCCTGATGAATCCAAGCTGTCAGCTTCCGTCAGGTTTGCCGGGAAGTCACGCTGACTGTAAGAAGAATGGTGCAACCTGAGTTGGGGGCTAAGTGGGAATGGGCCTGGTGTGGGGTGGGGGAGGTGGGGGTGAGGCAGGTGTCTGGTGCCTCTCTGCTTATTTTCCCTTCTCCCTTGCCCACGAAGGAGGCATCTTCTTCATGTCCCTCTGCCACCCCGGGAACATAAAATACTGCCCCAGCCCCAGGTCTGTCTTTCCTTGGACATAGCCCACCTACCTTCCTGTGGGACTCAGGGCTTTGTTTTGTCCTGTGGCCCACATGAGAGGCAATTATCCCTGCTCTGCTCAGCTGAGAGGACAAACTGAGGCAGAGTAGGGGAACAACTCTGTCATAGTCTGCCTGTTAATGGCAGAGTCAAGACCAGCCCTTCCCTGAGTGTCAGGTCCAGTGGACACCAAGCGTGGAGGCTGTATTAGTCCATTTTGCATTGCTCTAGAGGATTACCCGAGACTGGATTATTTATTTTTGAGACAAAGTCTAGCTCTGTCGCCCAGGCTGGAGTACAGTGACACAATCTCAGGTCATTGCAACCTCCGCCCCCTGGGTTCAGGCTATTCCCCTGCCTCAGCCTCCTGAGTAGCTGGAATTACAGCCATGCACCACCATGTCTGGCTAATTTTTTGTATCTTTAGTAGAGACAGGGTTTTGAGACAGAGTTTCACTCTGGGCCAGGCTAGAGTGCAATGGCGTGATCTTGGCTCACTGCAACATCTGCCTCCCAGGTTCAAGCAATTTTCATGCCTCAGCCGCCCAAGTAGCTGGGATTACAGGCATGCACCACCATGCCCGGCTAATTTTGTATTTTTAGTAGAGACGGGGTTTCACCAGGTTGGCCAGGCTGGTCTTGAACGCTTGACCTCAAATGATTCACCCGCCTCGGCCTCCCAAAGCGCTGGGTTACAGGCACGAACCACTGCTCCCAGCCCTGAGACAGGGTAATTTATAAAAGAGGTTTCTTTGCCTCACAGTTCTGCAGGCTGTACAAGCATCTGCTAGGCTTCTGGTGAAGCCTCAGGAAGCTTTTACTCCTGGTGGGAGGCAAAGAGGGAGGAGGCGTGTTGCATGGTGAGAGAGGACGCAAGAGAGGGGAGGCATCAGGCTCTTTTAAACAACTAGCTCTCTGGTGAACTCATAGAAAACTCACTCATTGAATCACTCGAACCAGGGAGGTGGAGGATGCAGCGAGCCGAGATCGTGCCACTGCACTCCAGCCTGAGCTGTGAGGGAGACTCTGTCTCAAAAACAAAAAGAAAAAAGAAAAAGAAAAAAAACCTCACTCATTACTGTGGGGAGGCCACTAAGCCATTCATGAGGGATCTCCCACCATGACCCAAGCACCTCACACTCTAGGCCCCACCTCCAGCATTGGGGATCACATTTCAACACCAGATGTGGATGGGACAAGTATCCAAACTATGTCAGAGGCCTCCCCCTCCCTCTCATCAGAGTCTTCTGTCCTCAGTTCAGGTGCATGCTGGCCTCCATGCCTGGCTTCCTAGGAAGTCATCTTGGCCCCAAGGGGTTGGGCACGGCCACTAGGCCGAAGGTTGGAGCCCTATCTCTCCTAGTCCCAGCCTGGGTCTCCATCACTGGCTAACCAGCCCTGTCACTTTGGCCTTGGGCAAGTCACCTGTGCCTTGCTTCCCTTTCCCCAGCAGCCAGATGGGGATAATAGCATCTATTTCACCCATAATCAAGTGCTCACTTGTTAACAGGAACTGAGTCCCAGAGGAGGCACAGGTGGAGTCATTGAAGCAACACTGCAGCTGGACCTGGGTCTGAGTCCCTGCTCCTGGCTGTGAGATGCGCCTCTCCCTCTGTTTATTCATCTAAAAGATACGGCTGTGCTGTTCTGGGTTTGCTGTGACAATTGAACTGACCTCTGTGAGTTGGTGGTGGCCTCCTGAGATGGCTTGAGGTGAGCTGGAGGTGTGTATTGAATGCCCCCTCGCACCCATGGGGAAGACCCACTTAAGGAAGACTCACATGTCTGTATGGAGGAATACAGGTTCCCTGCCCCTCAGCTGTCCTCTGTCCCTTCCCAGCCCCCTCTGCTGTCCTGCAAGCTCTGGCGGTGGCCATCCAGCTTGGTGGCCATCTGACTGATCCACTCTTCCAGGTGGACCCTCTCTCCTCACGTGGTGCAGGTCCCATTGCACCACCTCCAGACATGCCATACTAGCCCCCAGAGCCTCCTTTCCCTGTTACCCAGCCCCAACCCCCAGGTATGTGCCACCTCCCTAAAGCCTGCTGTGTTCACCAGCTGTGTTTGAACTCAGTCTCTGTGCAAGGCCTCATGCAAAGGCTGAAACAGCTTGGCTTGTAAAGGGCCAGGAGACCAAAGCTCAAAGAGAGAGTAACGGTCTCCCAGAGTCCACTTAGCCTCAGCCCCAGAGCTGCATCCGTGCTGTTCCTGGCTCCAGTGAACCAATTATCTCCCGTGATGCCTTTAAGGGCTCCTGTGGTGATGGAGGTGGCTGGAGAGAACAGGCTGCCATAGCCCTCCCTCCCTGAGAAGGCCCGATGGGGAACATTTTAGCCTTCAGGGCATTCCTTCAGGGCATCCCGGGGGGCATCTTCTAGGGACCTCTCCTACACCCTGCCCCGCCCTGGCTCTCTAGTGAGAAATTGCAGTTGCTTGGACAGTGGGGCTGACCCAGCACAAGTGCATCTATTAGGCTGGTCTTCGGGGTGCTGGGGTGGGGGCAGGGGTGCTTCAGGGATAGGAAGGAGAGGCCTGTGTGTTCCAGAAGTACAGAGGAACCTGGTGCCAGCCTCAGTCAACCCCGATGTGATGATCTTTCTACCCATCCTCTTTGATGTCTTGATTCTGGCTGATGTCCTTGGCCAGGTAAGCTTATGGTCTGGGCTCCTGGGGTCCCCTCACTGGCCTTGCCCACTCCTTGCAGGTAGGGGAGTCTTCGGGCCAGGACTATCCTTGGCTCCCCCTTCCAGGTCATAGGTTCAAAGACCATTCCTGGGTTCCACCACCACCAGGCCTCAATGGTGTCCTGATGGGCACAGGAGCTGCTGGGGCTTTCTAGACTAAGACCCTTGCCTATCCCTGTGTTCCCCCCTGCAGTGGGGCTGCAGGAGTCAGCCTCAGTCTCTGCCCTGAGAGCCTGCCTTACCTTGCCCTGACAGCCCCACACCTGCCCTGGAAGACCCCCCACACCCACTGGCTCTGATTCACTGTAGAGCAGCCAGGGGCCCCGTTGCTCACACCCTCTGGCCTGAGGATGACTGGCTCTGTGATTGGGTTTGGGGCATCAGGGAAGGACGTGGGCCTTGCCCTCAGCAGCCCCCATCCCCACTCTGGCCCCTTTTCGGTCTTCCTCCTCTTGTGGGCTGTACCCTGGGTCCCTCCCAGCTCCTCATATCAGATGACTGTCTAAGTATCTAGAAATCAGTTTTTTTAAACACCGACCTTGGATTGCTTCCTGACTTTTTCATACCCCCAAAGGGCCAGCCTTTCTCTTAGGATTGACAGTCTCTCCAGCCCTACTGGACCAGACCAGGCAGGCATAAGGGTATCCCTTCCCCAGCCCTCTTTGGGGCAAGCTTTTGTCCCCTTCCTGCCACCTGGCAGCAGGACCACACTTTGGTGTCAGGAGGGGCAGCAGAGACTGCGGACCCCCGAGCTGTGCCTAAGTCCTCTGTGTGGTCTAGTTGTGTGTGCTGGGGGAGGCTCCTGGCCACCATTTCCCCCTCTGTAAACAAGACGGATATCTGTGGCATGGAGGGCGGGAGGCCAGTGTCAGTGCCAAGCACTTGGAGCAGGGCCCTGAGTGAGCATGGACGTGGGAGCAGGGGTGTTCCTAGACTTTATGCACCTTGGGGATGGGAGTGGGGCTCCCTGCATGGGTTGACAAGGCATTGCTTTCCCCCACCCCACCTCTGTCCCAGACCTGCAAGTCCAATCCTTGGGGGTCTAGGAGGGAAGAAGCCCCTGGCTGTGAGGCCTTGGGCTGGACCCTGGCCCTCTCTGGCTCTGAGTTCCTGGGAAAGTCGGTGGTGTTGGAACTCCGGATTCATTCCTCAGCGTTGAGGCACTGTCTGTGGAAGCCGTGGGACAAGGTGAAGGTGGGGAGAGGAGAGGCTTGGAGTTTGGGTTTCAACAGAGGGATCAGCAGCGTGAGGGGTCATCTGTGTGTAGAGGAAAGGGAGTGAAGGCCAGGAGTGAGGAATGAGTCTGAGTGCACCCAGGATGGTGCTGGGTCTCCTCCCACATCCACCTGGCCCTGGTCAGGGGAGAAGAAAGACCACAAGACAAAGGGGAAACTGAGTTGGGTTCACACATGTCCTTCCAGGACCTGGAGGTGCCACTGTCTGGCCATTATGCAGTGAGAAGTGGGAGAAGGAAGATTCCCTCCCCACACCACCTGTTGTCTGTCCCAGGTCTCCTGGCCCCCTGTGCACCTAAGTTCAGTCTCTGTCGGCCCCCAGCAACATTTCTAGGGTTGGTGGGAGGCAGCTGGGAACAGGCTAGGGGTAGGTGGAGCCTGCTTGGGGGAGTCTGCTTGACTGCTTGGGCCACTGCCCATGGTAGTGGGGAGCTTTTCTGGCACATTGACTGCACCACCCAGGCGCTGCCAATGACAGCCCCCAGGGAGTGTTTGCAGAAGGCCTTGGCAGTGGAGGTGGCGGACTCCACCAAGAACAAACACCTGGGGTGGGGTCAGGGAGAACCACCCTCCACTTACCTGTCTGGAGTGTCCTCTGTACCGCACTGTGCGAGTCTACACTCCCAGGCTGAACACCCTGAGGGAGGCCCTCCACTTTAGCACCTTGACAAGAAGGGCAGGGACACCGAGATCAGGCCCAGCCCCCTGCCCCCAAATCCTGCAACCCCAGCTGGGGGCTGAGGAGTTGCTGTGCTTGGGTGGGGGAAACAGGGGTGTAAAGGGGCCTGCTCACCCCTCAGCTTGGCTCAAAGACTCAAGGTGTCAAAGGCTCAGCCTGCCCCTTAAGAAGGAGCCCGAGCCCAGCCAGATACTCACCAGGACAAGGGTGAATGTGATGAGCAGAAGGCCCAGAATGAAGAGAGCCTTGGCATAGCTGGGGATGGAGGTGTCCAGAGGGCTGGAGGCTTTGGGGCTAGGAGTGCCTAGAGCAGAACAAGAAAGCCATGGCCAGGCAGGGCCCTGGATCCCATACTTCTGAGGAGGCAGAATCTGGGCCCAGAAAGTTATATGTCATGGACCAACCTCAAAAACATTAGCTAAGTAAAAAAGCCAGACATGAGACCACATATTGCATAACTCAATTGATTTGAAATGTCCAAAAAAGGCAAACTGATAGAGACTGAAATGGGCTGATTTACGTCAAGAGGCAGCGACTCAAGCTCTCTAGACTACAGGTAATATATCTATGAGAAAAAATAAGGAAAAGAAAAGAAACTTAAATATAAATAAATGAAAATAATACTTCTCCCTGATTATAAAGAAAATCACATTATTTTTATAATAATTCAGAAGACAAAATATGAAGAAAAGTCTTTAATTTTGCCATCCAAACATTCTGGTTTGTTGCTTTTTATACTTTTTTATGCATATAAACATTTTTAAAAGTAGAATCATAACATATAGTCTTTTGTCACTATGTTTTGGGCATATCTCTATGGCAGTAAATATATCCTTGGCATCATCATTTTTAAAAGCTCGATGTATGTTAATCTAATAATTTCCACCCCTGAACTAAATTTTCATATATATATATGAAAAAGTGTATATATATATATATATATATATATATTTATTTTAATGGACTCGAGCAACCATTTTTGGACTGAATTCATAGAAGGAGAATCTCTGGAGGAAAATAACATAAAACAGTTTGAGGATTTTTAATAGAAATTTTCAAATTATCCTGCAGAAAAAGTGGTTCAGTTTATACTCCCACCAACAGGGGTGGAGCTCCAGTTTCCCCCTTCTATTTGTTCTCTTTGCTGGTATTTAAGCAGAAAATCTCATTGTTTTCATTACATTTCCTTGGTATCTAGTGCTTTTTAGTCTTTTCTTTTTCTTTTTTTTTTTTTCTTTATTGAGATGGAATCTTGCTCTATCGCCCAGGCTGGAGTGCAACAGTGTGATCTCGGTTCACTGCAACCTCTGCCTCTTGGGTTCAAGTGATTCTCCTGTCTCAGTCTCCCAAGTAGATGAAATTACAGGTGCCCACCTCCATGCCTGGCTAATTTTTTATTTTTTACTAGAGACGGAGTTTCACCATGTTGGTCAGGCCAGTCTCAAACTCCAGACTTCAGATGATCCACCTGACTTGGCCTCCTACAGTGCTGGGATTACAGGTGTGAGCCACCAGGCCTTGCCTTTAATCTTTTCTATATGGTTATTGGCCATTTTTATTCTTATGGGAAGTGCCTATTTCTCCATTCCTATTTTCTGGCTAACCTCCAAAGTCACATTTCACTTAATTTTTATCCTGCTGATTGAAAGCATTTATCTTAGTGATTTTAATGTAAATAGGAGCAGGACAGACTGTAATTATCTAGGTCTTGCTCTGTCACCAAGGCTGGAGTGCAGTGGCATGATCATAGCTACTGCAGCCTCGCACTCCTGAACTGAAGCAATTTTCCTACCTCAGCCTCCCAAGTAGCTAGGACTACAGGTGTGTGCCACCATGCCCAGCTAATTCAAAAAAATTTTTATGGAGATGTGAATTTGCTATGCTGCCCAGGCTGATCTTGAACACCTGACTTCAAGTAATCCCCCCATCTTGGCTTGTCAAAGTGCTGGAATTACAGGCATGAACTGCTCCCAGCCATGAGCTCATTTGGTTTGCTAGTGGCATTCTTGGTATCTTTTCATATTGGAGGCTTTGGTGCTACTGCTGAAGTATTACACTCACCATCCTGGGTTACAGGTCTTTTGTTTGAATATTGAACGGAAGGAAGTGTTTAGTTCTGCATCTTTGCAGGTATACAAAATGTGCCTAGGAGGACTCTGCTTTATATCCATTCAAAGTGAGAAGTAATACAGGAAGATTTTGCCTGGCTAGAGGCCTTGAAAGAATGGAGTATTCTGGTTTAATTCTATTGACTTGGAAGTATGAAGGTGAGAAAAATTCAAAACTTGTATTTCCTGTTGAATACAGTTTGAAAATATAGCCAGTGATTCCACTTTTCTTCTCTAGTAAGTTTGGACATTCCAATCTACTTGGTGTTTTATGATAGAACTGCTAGTGTGCCTGCGACTTACATTGTGAAGATATGTTTTTAAAACTTGAGAGGTAAGAGGGTGTGAATGGTGTTGTATGAGATCAGGCTGGATGAGAACTGACATTGCAAATATACTTTTTAGACTGAATCTCTGATTGCCACTTGTTTTTTTATTTAACTCAAAAATAGAACACATTGGATGCAGGGTGGGAGCAGGAGGGAGATTTATGTCTTTTAATTGCATGTCTTTTTTTCATATCAAGACAGAACATATAGTATCCCTGGCTTTGGACCTACAGAAGGAAACACATTTTTCTACCTGTTGTATGCCAGAGGTTCTTGAACACCTGGAGGGATTACTGCAGCACAGATGGCTGAGCCTTACTCCAGAGTTACTGATTCAACAGGTCCAGGGTGGGGCCTGAGAATTTGCACTTATAAAAAGTTCTCAGGTTCTGCTGGTGCTGCTAGTCCAGAGACTACATTATTGAGAACCCTCTTGTCTACTAACTGTCAATTGTAGAACTCTAGAAAAAAGCTTAGTTTGGTGTGGGAGAAAAAGCTCAGAGATCATGGAGCGAATCATGAAAGATTCAACCCCTGATCCCAGCATAGTGTGGAATTCAGGTAGCAATACACAGTGACATAACACAAGTCTTGATTTTCATGATTGCAAGTCATAGCCAAGTATCAAGTGAGAAAATCAGTTCCATTTGCAAGGCTTAGACAGGCCAGGTGATTCTAAAGAAAGAGGCCTTGTATTTGCTTTAAACTGGTAAAGAGCTTGAGTGCTTATTAAATCTAAAGTTTTGTGTTTTTCTTTATTTTCTTTATTTTATTTTATTATTTTATTTTATTTTGAGATGGAGTCTTTTTTTTTTTTTTTTTTTTTTTTTTTTGTTGAGACAGAGTCTCGCTTCGTCGCCCAGACTGGACTGCAGTGACCGGATCTCAGCTCACTGCAAGCTCCGCCTCCCGGGTTCATGCCATTCTCCTGCCTCAGCCTCCCCAGTAGCTGGGACTACAGGCGTCCGCCACCTCGTACGGCTAGTTTTTGTATTTTTTAGTAGAGACGGGGTTTCACCGTGTTAGCCAGGATGGTCTCGATCTCCTGATCTTGTGATCCGCCCGTCTCGGCCTCCCAAAGTGCTGGGATTACAGGCTTGAGCCACCGCACCCAGCCGAGATGGAGTCTTGCTCTGTTGCCCAGTCTGGAGTGCAGTTGCTCGATGTTGGCTCACTGCAACTTCTGCCTCCTGGATTCAAGTGATTCTCCCGCCTCAGCCTCCTGAGTAGCGGGGATTACAGGTACACGCCACCACACCTGGATATTTTTGTATTTTTAGCAGAGACGGGGTTTCATCATGTTGGCCAGGCTGGTCTTGAACTCCTGACCTAAGGGGAGCCACCGCACCCGGCCCAAAAGCTTTGTGATTTTAAAGATATTAGACATGTTTCTTGTTTTTAAAAAGTCTTAATAATGTAGGAGAATAAGAGAAATGTTTTTCCAAGAGAAATCCTTGTGATTATTTTACCTTATTGGAATGTTGGATAATATAGTCTGCTTCATTAATCATCAAACATGCTATGGATTTTCCATTTTTATAGGATTTGTGTCTCAATTGAGGTAATACTGGTAATTCTTGTACTCCATCTGAAGATGAAAAATGTAGGCCAAAATCATAGACCGTACATTGAAGCTGGATTATGAAGATAGCTCTGGAGGAACATGTAGACACACACACACTGACACACATATATATAAAGTATAAACACATATATATTTTAAAGTTTATTTTTAAAGTTTTAAAGCAAAAGCCGGCCCCTCCCCTCTCCCGGAGTAAGCAGGCCCCGCCCCTCACCCCAAGTGGGCGGGGACAGCAGTTGCATGGGCAGCTTCCTTTGTGATGCCACAGGTTCCTCTGGACACACTGCTGCCTGGCCACGCCTCCTTTCCCTTTCATCTTTCTCACTGACCAATGGGCTTGGAGCATTAAGGCCACACCCCTTTTCTGTGTTCTATTGGCGCCCTGGTTACGCCTCCTCTGGCTCAGTCACACAGCTGACTGGTAGGTGACTGGAGGTGTTCCCTGATGTGGCCCCAACCCTGCCTCCCTCCCCACCCCGCGATGTTAGAAGAAACTCGAGAGCGCAAATTGGCAGCAGCCAAGAAAAAGGTAAAAAGCACCAGGTCGTGGCCCCCCAATCCAGCCAGAGATCCGCTCCAATGGCAAGACCACTGCCAGAGTCTATACCACTCCTGAGGCACACCGGGCTGGGGCCCCCAACCCTGGCACCTCTGGGCTCCCCCCACCAAAGTCCTGGCAGTCAGTCCCACTCCTTCAGCAAGAAGCCCAGCCCCTGCCCTCACCAATCACTCCAGGGTGACTTTGGGTGGGTGACTCCTGGGGCTCCCCACTCCATACTCAGCCCTCACATCCTGCCACCCCAAGCCCAACCTCCCTGGGTTCTCGGGGCTCACCTCTCCAAGGACCTGGGTCTCCCAGCCCCAGGCCCCCCCATTGCCATTCATCCCTGGGTGACTTTGAACTGGTGATTCCTGGGGTTCCCTGCTGCAGATTCGACTCTCCCCTCCTGCTGACCCAAGCCCGACCTCCCTGGGCTCTTTGGACTGGTGTCTCCAAGGACCTGAATCCCAGCTCTATGTCCCCCTCCACCATCGTGGATCGGTGACTCAGCCATTGCACTGATGTGGTTTCCCCCACCCCCAGGAGGAGTGGAATGTAGTGATGTCACAGTCCCCCTACGAACTGTCATTACTGCTGCAAGACCAGCCATTGATCTTATGACCCAGTCCCCTAAGCATTCTCACCCCATTTCTGGTTCCTTGGGTCACAGCACAAATTTCCAGCTGGAAGGGGAATGGGGACTATGGGACCTAGGGGCAAGAGGTTTCAGGCTGCCTCACTCCCTTCACATAGACATTGGCAGTGTGAAAAGCCTACACTTCACCCGTGAGCTCAAAATGTTGTCAGTATCTCTGGGTGGCAATGGGAGAACGAGTTTGGTTTGGTTTTCTCCCAGCCTTCTACTCTCCAAAGAGAATTTAACATTTTTTTCTGAGTTCTCCACCTCACATTCTAATTCTCCACGGTTCTGGGACCAGACAGAGCTTCAATCACTGGTCTCTGAAGTGAGATTTGCTCATCCTCTGTGGAATAGATCTTCGGAAACTGAACTTGACACCTTGAATCTTCCTCCTATCATCTCAACCTGGGGCACTTTGAGTGCCACAGGATAAATGTGGGAGATCTTTCTAAAGCATCAGTTTCCCTTGATTCTCTTGAGAGAGGAAAAACATTAATGTACTTAGGGATGACAGTCACATAGGTTTCTAAGAGTATACCAGACTTCTCTCTGAAATGAGACTTGGTTGTCCTCTTTCTGATAAGTTCCCAGATTTACCAAAAAAGCTGCCTTCTGCCATGAGGACACATTGATATAAAAGTTTGAGAGGTCCTGGTGCACTTCTTCACACTTACAGACGTGTGAGGATGTATGACTCTAAACCACACAGCGTACAGTTCCTGCCTACTTAATGCTGACTTTTCTACCACTGCCTCTGGTTTTGGTCCCTGGCAGCTGCTGATTCGTGGTAAAATCCCAGAGCTTGGAGTCAGAAGACTGAGTTTAAGTTCCATTATTGCCCCCCCGCCTTTCATTTTTAGCCATAATATCAATCCCTCTCGGTCACTAAGTGATTGTGGCAACACCATGTACAGTTCTTGGTGGCATTAAATCAGATGGTGTATAAGAGTATTTTGTAAAAACTGTAAAGGAGGATGTGGCTGTAGGGGCTGGTAGTTCTCATGAGTATTACTGCTCTTCTTTCCCACAGCTAAAAGAATATCAGCAGAGGAGCAGCCCTGGTGTTCCGGCAGGAGCAAAGACGAAAAAGAAAACTACTGGCCGTAGCCCTGAGACAACCACTTCTGGTGGTTGCCACTCACCTGGGGATGTGAGTCTTGGCTGGCCAGTCTCCTGGGGACAGGGGGCCCAAGGGGCAGTAGAGGGTAATTGTTGAGATTGCTGGGTACTTGTTCAGAATTCTCGGTTTGAATCCTGCCTCTCCATCTGCTAGGGATCTGATTTGTGTCAGTTGCTTGAGCTCCTTGGGCCTCTCTTTTCACATCTGTAAAATAGGGGTAGTGTGGTTTGACTTCCATTTGTGAAGTTTAAATGAGATTTCATATTGTTGTTGTTTTTATGTTAATCCCTAGTACATGGCCTGCTGTAAACACCCAGGACACCCAGGAAATGGTCATTGCTGTTTGATTTTCCTCATCCCCAGTCTCAAGGGGAACCTGGGCCAATGAGTACAGTCACTTGCCATCAGGCTGTCCCTTTAGGAGTCACCGAAGGGGGCTCCAGTGTGTGGTGAGGAAAGCCCCAGGCACTAGGAGTAAGAGAAGATCTAACTTGCCACCAGCTTGCTGGGTGACCACAGAAAAATCACTTCTTCTCCTGGGCCTCAGTTTCCTCCTCTGTAAGATGATACTGGACAAGATCAGTGTCTTTGAAACTTGTTTTTTAGCTGGAGCCCCCTTAGTTCAAGTGAACCCTTACTCAGAAGTCTGGTTTTATTAATGGAGGTGGAGGTCTGGAGCATTACCAGATTCATCGCCCACATCCTGGGCCTGAGGAGAGGGGTCCAGTGAGCATATTAAGAGCTGCATTGGTCAGGTGACTCTACCCTGTGACTGCATCGCTCAGGGAACATTTCCATCTATTTGTTCCTGCCCCGGAAAGGCCGCAGGTGGCCATTTGGAAGAACGGCATAGGCCATGGTTTTAATCTCCTCTGCTCTTCCTCAGCATTTCGTTTTCCTGAACCCACGTCTTCCTCCTACCCTGACTTTCTTGCTTCTCTCTAAACCACTTCTGTCTTTCTCCCCCTGCCTTGTTTTTTCCCTTGTCACCTCCTGTAGATTCAGGACATTCTGAAGGTGCTGGTGTCCAACCTTAACCACTCCAATGGGGTAGTGCTACCCCATTGAAAAAGTGGAAGGCGAGGCAGTGCCAGGACCCCTCTCTGGCTTTTTGTCTGCAGCTGTGCATGCCCCTGAGGCTTCTCTGGTTTGGGGGATACTTTGCCTCTGGCTTATTTTTATGTTGCTGCCATTAACCTTCAGCCTGTTTATGTCTGCTTCTTCACCTGCTTGATTGATTGGGTTTTTTCCTTCCCCACATCTTTTATAATCTTGGAAATGGTGAGACATATCTTAAAGTTTAAAAGTAATTTGGGAATAATGTACAGAGCAGGCACGTGGGATTTGGGGCTTTTTTTTTTTTTTTTTGAGACAGAGTGTCTCTGTCACCCAGACTGGAGTGCAGTGGTGCGATCTCGGCTCACTACAACCTCTGCCTCCTGGGTTCAAGCGATTCTCTTGCCTTAGCCTCCTGAGTAGCTGGGATTACAGGCACCTGCCAGGGTGCCTGGCTAATCTTTGTATTTTTAGTAGAGACAGGGTTTCACCATGTTGGCCAGGCTGGTCTCAAACTCCTGACCTCACGTGATCCACCCGCCTCAGCCTCCCAAATTTCTGGGATTACATGCGTGAGCCACTGTGCCCTGTCCCTTACTGTTTTTATACTTTATATCCATAACTGTTTCCCATGAAAGCATTTTCTCTTTTCATTTCTCATTTTTATTACCTCTGCATCATCTGCTACCCTGAAGGATCTAGAGGTAAGAGGCCCTGGGCCGAAGTGCAGTGACCTTTCATGCCAGCCCTCCAACCTCCTCTCACAGTGGGAGCTGGGTGCCCCTCTACCAGCTGAGACAGCCCACACACACCCCAGCCCTAATGATTGTTCTCTCTACCTCTCCCCGCAACCCTCCTCCAACTCCTCCTCTCTGCGTGCGCCTCAGAGCCGGTACCAAGAACTGGAAGTAGCCCTGGACTCAAGCTCCGCAACAATCAATCAACTCAATGAAAACATAGAATCATTGGTAAGAGTCCAGTGGGGTCTCCTGATTCCATGCTGCCAATCCTGGACTCCAGTTTCCCCTTGAGGCCCTGAAGAAAGGGGCTAGGGCCCCTGGTGCGAAGGGTTAATGGGGAGCTGGAGTGCCTGGGCTTCACCTGGGGGGACCCCAGAGCAAGGAGCATGCAGCATGGCTCTTCTGTCACTGTCCTGTTTGCTGACTCTCGTCTTCAGACACCTCTGCTCCAGTCCTTGCCACACACACCCTGGGGTTCTCGCCTCTCAGAGAAGTGAGGGTTGTTAGGGGCTCCGTATTTCTGCCCTGACTCAGTCCCTAATTTGTTCTTTGAGTCTGGACTAGCCAGCTCTCCTCCTTGGGCTTGTGTTTCCAGAGGAGGTAGAGTATCAAAGGTCTCTGTTAGCTCTGAGAGTCCGAGAGTTAAAGGCCCCTAGAATGGGCCAGGTGCGGTGGCTCAAGCCTGTAATCCCAGCACTTTGGGAGGCCGAGACGGGTGGATCACGAGGTCAGGAGATCGAGACCATCCTGGCTAACACGGTGAAACCCCGTCTCTACTAAAAAATACAAAAAACTAGCCGGGCGAGTTGGCGGGTGTCTGTAGTCCCAGCTACTGGGGAGGCTGACACAGGAAAATGGCGTACACCCTGGAGGCGGACCTTGCAGTGAGCAGAGATAGCGCCACTGCACTCCAGCGTGGGCGACAGAGCGAGACTCCGTCTCAAAAAAAAAAAAAAAAAAAGCCCCTAGAATGGAAACCTCAGGGCCAACGGCTCCCGTCTGTCCTTTTCTGTCCTGTATCTGTGCTGTGAAGACCCGTGCCTGGTCTGTATGTGCTCAGTAAACGTTCGTTGAATGAACACATCTTTCTAAATCACAAACTGGCAGAACGGTGGGCCTTTCTCAGACTCCGACTCTAGAGGTTTATGTTACTGTCCTTTTGAGAGAATCCAGATTCAGACTTTGAGTTCTGTGGCTGTGGGCAAAAACCAACAAAGACCCAAATCCTCTGTCTTGGGGAGCTTGAGGAGAGTTGACCAGTTCATGTTGCCACTGGGTCTGAGAACTTTGCCTTTAAAATCCATTCCTGGCCCCTGCCTACCGCTTCCTGGACTGGAGAATAGAGTTGAGGGCCCCCCCCTCAGTCACCTGAATTTGACTCTCCCCACAGAAACAACAGAAGGAACAAGTGGAACATCAGCTGGAAGAAGTAACGCGATTTCTTTGTTTGCACACAACATGACTGCTGGGTTTGGGGGGCACTCAGATGTAGAGGCGCCAGTCTCGTCTCACCCACTCCCAGCCTGGGGAAGAAGACTCACCCCTCAGATTCCACCCCATACCCACAGGGTCCCTGAAAACCTGGTCCCATGGGTGTGCCTGTCCTGGGGCATTGGTGGCATGCTGGGGGCATGTCTCTTGCTGTGCCATCTCTGCCTCCCCCGGGTAAGAGCTCTGTCTTCCTCTTCCTACAGGAAAAGAAAGCAAACAATGACATACACAAAGCACAGACGGAGCAGTTAGAGGTGAGTGGAGGGTGGGGAGTTTTCTCCTGTCCTCCGGAGAATGTTTCTTTCCGTCTCTTTCAGCACTTGCTTGGCTTTTCTCCCAAACGTTCAATTCCAGACAATCAACATCCTCACATTGGAAAAGGCAGACTTGAAGACCACTCTTTACCATACTAAACGTGCCGCCAGACACTTCGAAGGTGAGAACGTGGGCACCCCATCATCCTTCAACCTGGCACTTTGACAGGTCTTTAGGGGGAGTCCTTTGGGCCTCATCTCAACCTCTGTCATTACAGAAGAGTCCAAGGATCTGGCCGGCCGCCTGCAATCCTCCTTACAGCGTATTCAAGAATTGGAGCGGGCTCTCTCTGCTGTGTGTACACAGCAGCGGGAAGAGGACAGGGTGAGTCCAACCAGCTGCCCCGTCCCCTGGCAGCCTGGCTTCCCAGATGCAGGAGTGAGCCTAAAGGTCCCTTCTGCAGGATGCAGTGTCCTGCCCAGAAGGCAGCGTGCTCATTTCTCGCTGCTTTTGTGTGTGGTTGTTAGAGGCAGCCTGGGGCTGAGTCAGCTGCTGTGGGTGAGTTGGGGGCACTGTGGGGAGCAAACACTGGACACAGAGCTCAGAGGCCAAGTGCCTGCCCTACCCTTACCTGGCTGTGGCCTTGGCCAAGTCCCAGGTGGGGTATCGGATACTTGTACTGTGAAGGTACAGAAGAGTACCTTTACTATGTCACCATTTCTGTAGATCGAGGAAAGATGTGTGTGTGTGTGTGTGTGTGTGTGTGTGTGTGTACTATTATACATAAAACATGTCTGCAAGTGTTCATAAAAAACTCAGGAGAGAGTAACAGGGCGGCTGGGAGACACTTCCCTTCTGTACCTTCTGAGTTTTGGATGATGCGAATGTATCATCCTTTCAAAAAGTGAACAAAAGATTAATTTTCCCCCCTCTATCTGTGCCCCCACACCTAGCAAGAAAAAATGGGCTTAGAGAATCGGATAGACCTGGGTGTTCAAATCCCAGCTCTGTCTAAGTGATCTTAGGCAAGCACTTAACCTCGAATACTCCATGTTTTTCATCTACGCAATAGAGGTTACCCTAGTAAATGTCTCATATGGTGGTTGTGAGGATTAAATGGGATTGTTAGCATGGTACCTGGTGAAGCACTCCATTCAGGTTCAAACAGTGGTAGTAATAACAGTAATAACAATTGTAATATGATCTGATCTCTCTGGGCCTCCGTTAGCCAGCAGTAAATTCGATCTCTTTCCCTGTCCCTTCCAACTTTACTGAGTTCTTCTAAAAACCAGACCACGGGCTTGGAAATGCCTTGATCTTTACTGACTGAGTTGTATATTGAGCCTAGTGATAACCCTTTTGAGGGGCACTGCCCGGGCTCCCCAGATCAAAACTTCTCACTCTTCACCATCCAGTCCTCGAGCCGCAGTGAAGCCGTCCTCCAGCGGCAGTTCCGGCAGACCTTAAAGGAGCGGGCGCTGCTGAACGCACACGTGACACAGGTGAGGCTTTGCAGAGGGAGGGATGTGGAAGGAAGATGACCCCAGGGGACCAGGAGCAGGTGAGGACCAGTGACAGCCCTTCCTCACTTCTGTGCCCATTCCTGCAGGTGACAGAGTCATTGAAACAAGTCCAGCTGCAGAGAGACGAATATGCCCAACATATAAAAGGAGAGAGGGCCCGGTGGCAGGAGAGGATGCGGAAAATGTCGGTGGAGGTGAGACCTGAGCCTTCAGCCCCCACCTTAGATGGGTCACTGGGTCTTTCTGGGCATCTGTAAAATGGGACTAGTACAGCCAGAGGTGGTCGTGGGTCTGGGCTTTGTGGAGGTGGGGGCAGAGAGGAAGATGGTAGCCTGTCCAGCCACCAGCCCCCTCTCCAGGGCCCTTTCCCCCTGTGCTTTGGGCAGGCTCGCACATTGAAGGAGGAGAAGATGCGTGACACATATCGGATACAGGAGCTGGAGAGGACCTTGTCCGAACTCAAACACCAGATAGGTAAGGTGGGGCTGGTGTGACCTGGGAGCAGGACTGGCATCAGAGGGCTGTGGGGTGGCTTAGGATGCCCCAGGGAGGTGGGTGAATGGAAGGGCTTTGAGGCAGTGGGAAAGTGGTCTGTGCCAGGAGTCAGCAAGTCTTGTCATCTCCATGAGCTCAGGGTCCCCATCAGCAAAGAGGGAGGAGTGCCCATTGTCAGCCACCCACAGTGCTCTCTATCTGAAAGTGGCTTGGAAATGGGCACCATCGGGTGCGAGGAATCATTAGCAGTGAGGCCAAGCTTGGGAAGCCTGAGAGGAGCTGTGAATCAAGAGGAGGGTTGTTTCTTTTTTTTTCTTTTTTTTTTTTCAGGGGGGGGGGGGGGGGAAGAGGAATCCAGAGGCCCTTATTGTCTGCTTCCTTTCTCAGCTGAGCCCTCATCCTCGGCGCCCCCAGCAGGGCCTTCTGAGGTGGAGCAGCTACAAGATGAGGCCAAACACCTGAGGAAGGAGGTGGAGAGTTTGGTGGAAAAACTGCAATTCCAGGTGGAAAACAACCAGGCCTTGAGTCTCCTGAGCAAGGAGCAAAAGGAGAGGCTTCAGGAGCAGGAGGAGAGGCTCTGGGAGCAGGAGGAGAGGAGGCTGTGGGAGCAAAATGAGAGGCTTCGGGAGCAGGAGGAGTGGACGCTGCAGGAGCAGGAGAGTCTGCGTGAGCAAAAGGAGAGGCTTAGGGATCAGGGTGAGAGGCTGCGAAAGCAGGAAGAGAGACTGCGAAAGCAGGAAGAGAGACTGCGAAAGCAGGAGGAGAGGCTACAAAAGCAGGAGGAGAGGCTTCAAAAGCAGGAAGAGAGGCTGCGAAAGCAGGAGGAGAGGCTACGAAAGCAGGAGGAGAGGCTCACGCTTTCCCAGAACCACAAGCTCGACAAGCAGCTGGCCGAGCCACAGTGCGGCTTCGAGGATCTGGTGGGTTGCCCCACCTGGGGAGGCTGCCCTCATCCCTAGCCCTCCAGGCCTTTGTTTCCCCACCTGTAAAATGGGGCAGTGTAGCCCTCACATGAGATGGTACTTCTAAAGGCACCTGTGAGCCAGAGCTCATCAGGCCCTGCTCTGATGGCTGTGGGGGAGGGGATGATTTTTCTAACCTGCCTCCACCCTTCCCCGTGACATGGGAGACAGACACCAAGTTCAGGGTTCTCCAGCTGCAGTGGATGGCCACTGATTGCTTCTCTCTGTCCAGAACAACGAGGACAAGAGCGCTCTGCAGTTGGAGCAGCGAGTAAAGGAGCTGCAGGAGAAGCTGAGTGAGGTGAAGGAGATGGTAACCTTTGCCCCATCCAAGAAGGGCTGGGCGGCGGGCACCAGCCTCTGGGGAGGGGAGGTGCCAGGCCAAAGGCAGCTCTAGCTGGAGGGAAGGTGACCCCAGCCCCCTCCAGAGCAGCCCTATAACTGTTTCTTGCTTCCTGCCCTCTGACTTTTAGAGGTGGGTAGCCCTGGGCTCCTCCCAGGTCTGGACATTATAATCCCAGCTAGAGGCATGGAGTCCCCCAATCATAGGGGAAGAGACTGGTATAAGAGGTTCCTTATGCCAGGGGCAGTAGCTCACGCCTGTAATCCCAGCACTTTGGGAGGCTGAGGCAGGAGAAACACTTGAGGTCAGGAGTTTGAGAACAGCCTGGCCAACATGGCGAAACCTCATCTCTACTAAAATTACAACAAAAAAAGTTAGCTACGCATGGTGGCGCATGCTTGTAATCCCAGCTACTCAGGAGGCTGAGGCATGAGAATCACTTGAGCACGGGAGGTGGAGGTTGCAGTGAGCTGAAATTGCACCACTGCACTCCAGCCTTGGCCACAGAATGACACTCTGTCCCAAAACAAAACAAAAAAGCCTCCTTCGATTCAACCTGGATTCTGGCCTCAGTTCCACTGGTCACCGTTCAGCTATTTTTCATCTCTGAGTCTCTGTTTGTTTAACTTGAAAAGGAAGTTAGCATTTTGCTTGCAAGGTGCTGAGGATTAAATGAGAGAATACATGGAAAGCATTAGGCTTGTAGCACACTTAGCAGATGGTGGTTGGCTCCCTCTGCTTTTCCACCAGTCTGTGGCCTGCAGTTTAAATGGTGGGAAGGAGGACATGTGATTTGAGACTGGGGAAGGAGGCATGGGGTTCTAGGCAAGGGAGGAAGTTTCTTAGGCCTGGAGCCAGGGGCCAGGGGCCCAGGCAGGTGACAGAGCCCCACAGTGCTCTCACTACCCTATTAATGGTCCCAGAATCTGGAAGCCAGCCACCACGTGCCCTCATGCCCAGGGTCTTCCTGCAGCTGGAGCTGAAGAGCCAAGAGTCTCAGAGTCTGCAGCAGCAGCGAGACTAATACCTGGGTCACCCGCAGCAGTACGTGGCCACCTATCAGCAGCTGACCTCCGAGAAGGAGGCGCTGCACAGGGAGTTACTGCTGCAGACCCAGCTCATGGACCAGCTGCGGCAGCAGGAAGCTCGGGGCAAAGCGGTGGCTGAGATGGCCTGCCAAACCTGCAGGAGACCCAGGGGAGGGAGTCGCTGAGGACAGGGCCCCGAGGGGGACAACCTGGCAACCTCCGTGCCTTCTCACTCTGTTTCCCGTCCCCTTAGGAGCACCTAGAAGCTGCCAGCCAGTGGAACCAACAGCTAGAGGCCCACTTGAGCCTCATGGCTCTCCCTGGAGAAGGTACAGGAGACCACTCAGGGGAAGAGGAGAGAGCCCCAGGAGGAAGGGGGCACTGTCAGCAGCACAGGATTGAGGGGTTGGAAGAGACCTTTAGAACAGCTGGTCATTATGCCGACCGGGTGTCTGCACTAAGCTCGGCATGAATATGGTGACCTCCTGGGAGCAGGGGGCCACCAGGTTGCCTAAGGATGAGTGAACTGGCCCAGATCAGAAAGGGAGCAGTTCAGAACTCCGGCACCGACTGGTAGCAGGACTGTGCCTGGGCAATATAGCAAGATCTTGGTTCTTTAAAGGAAAAATAAAGAACAGCAGCTCCTTCCCCTCTGGGGAGGGGCTGTCTCAGGGTTACACAGTGAGGGTGGGGAGAGGTGGGCCCACAGTACCTCCCTTGTTGGGTTGTCTGAGGACCCCTCTGGCCACCTCCCCACAGGAGATGAAGGAGGACATCGAGACAGCGAGGAGGAGGAGGCACCTCGGCCCATGCCACACATCCCAGAGGACCTGGAGTGCCAGGAGGCCATGGTGAGTCTGACTGTCCCTGCTCCACTTTTCCACCTTCCTCTGTGGTCCCTGGAAGGAGCCAGAGGCATGGGCCCCGCCCCAGGGACTGGGGATGAGTCTGTGTGTGGGGAGAGCTACCGGGCCCTGCAGGGGGCCATGGAGAAGCTGAAGATGAGTGCCTCCTGGCGTGGGCCAAGAGAAGTGGGGGCGGGGCAGGATAGGTCACTCCCGAGGTGTGACCCCATTATTTTGGCTCCAGAGCAGCTTTATGGACCTCCCGAAGGAGAAGGCGGACAGGAAGGAGCAGGTGGAAAGACTAGAGCTTGGATTCATCCAGCTCTCTGGAGCGACAGAGGGCATGAGTGAGCAGGAGGCCAGGGCATGGCAGGGGGAGCTGCAGGGCCGTCGGAGGGGCCCCAGTGTCTGAGCCCTGTCCTCTCGCAGGAGACTACATCAGCGAATATGAGAGCCAGGGGGCAGTGCCAAACACTCGGCACCAGGAGAAGGAGGACGTCATGGGTCTGGCTCAGAACGAGGAGATGAAGGTAGAGGGCGTGCAACGTCTCTGCAGGGGTGGGGGTGGGCGTGGGATGTGAAGCCAGCTCAGGCGTGGCAGCTGAGCACCCCTCCTTGCAGGTGAAGCTGCTGGAGCTGCAGAAGCTGGTGTTGCCGCTTGTGTGCAACCACGAGGGTCATGACAAATTCCCCCCCGCTGCCCAGAACCGTGGTGATGAGCCCGCTCCAGGGGCCCCAGCCCCCCAGGAGCTTGGGGCTGCGGAGGAGCAGGGTGGTGAGTAGCGCCCTCAGGCGGGGTGGGCAGGCAGGAGCAGGGGAGGCTCGCACTGTGCTCAGACCCCCGCCTCCCTCTCTCCGAAGATCTTTGTGAGGTGAGCCTGGCCGACAGCGTGGAGCCTGCAGCGGGAGAGGCCAGGGAGGGTTCTCCCCGTGGCAACCCCACCGCAGAGAAGATCGTGCAGCTGCTTCCTGTAATGCAGGACACCCAGGAGCACCCAGGCTTGGGCAGCAAACCCTGCGTCCCTTTCTTTTACCGGGCAGCGGAGAACAGGGAGATCAACATCGTCATCATCTGAGAGCTGGTCAAGAAATTGAAAACAACAACAACAACAACAACGAAAAGTTATGGGGTTAATCCCCTGCACAATTCATTTACTTCATTTGAATGTTACAGCCCCTCATGTTTATTTGTGTTTCTAATTTACAGTTTAAATTTATTTATAAAAAGTTAAGGGAGAGTGGCTCTTTCCCTAATGTTCACTGTGGCATCCTTTAGCATTTTTGTTTTTACTTTGATAATTGTAGGTCTTGAGCGTGCATATCGAGTTTGCCCTCAGGTGGTGGGAGTTCAAACACACAAAGACCCACTGTTTGCACAAAACTATTCTTGCTGGTTTGGAATAGGCTGCCGTGCTTTTTTTACTGTTATTGCAGCATGTATATTCATTACAGAATTCAGATAAAATTCGCTTGTGTTCTGCTATTATGTTTGATGGAATCCTAATCACAGTGAGCTCTTCATTAGCTCAATATGTGGTTTGCCCTCAAGTGCGCACTGTTTCTTACTTTGTAATATGCCCCTGTGAGTACTGACATTTAGAGTTGTTTAAAGGCCGAGAACTGGAAACAGCCTTTCCCCTATTTTCTGTGTATTGGGGATGGGAGGAATAACATTTTGGGGAGCTTTTTAAATCTCACAGAAGAGGAAAGTGGCCTGCTCTGGCAGGTGTGTGCAGGATAGAGTGTGTTTCATTTGTTCTGGTGCCAGGAATGAGCGCGGTACTATGGTAGTTCCCTTAGGATTTGTACGTGCTCTGGGCTCATGAAGATATCGCAGCATGAGCTGCAGCAGTTGGACTCTTTCTCAGTGACCTAAAAGGGATTATTTCTGAGGAATGACAGGCTCCCATCATTGACTATGGATGTGGAAAATCTTTTCTAGCTTAGAGCCTTTATATCTACAATACTTTAAAGTCAGAGTTCATATTACCTGTTTTAATCACAGGACTACAAGTCCCAGTATGCAAAAGGGCACTGGTTGGCATTCTTCTTAATGTATTTAGTAAAGATCATAAGAAATCCTTTCAGAGTTTAAATGTCCCTGGAACAGGCATACAGGCTCTAGTCAAGAATGAATTCGAGTGAAGGAAAGCTGTGTGACACCTGGCATTCCTCTATGTTCATGGAGCTTCTTTGAGGCTAGAAGATTGATTTTACCATCTAGACCTCTCTGGCTAATACCTATTCTTTATTGATTACTCTGACATAGGAATTTACTTATTTTCCTTGAATGGAAAACATTATAAAAACAATAACAACCATTATTAAAACCAATATATGTGAGAGTACTTAGTTGAAACAAAAAGGAGATTTAGTAGACAGTATTACACTACATTTGAAAATCAAGGGGAAGTTTATGCAACTTAAAATGTTTACAAGCTGCTGTGCAATCTACTGTTTGTGAAGCTCAAAGTATTATGAGGAAAAGTGTCTATACCATCACAGAGTTATGTTCCTCACAAAGTTCTTTACGAAGAGTGAAATATATTTTTATACCTCTCGGTTTCAGTTAGAGGCATATTTTGTGCCCTATTTATGTTAATGTGTCATACATGATGAATGAATTCTTTCAGTCATACATTGCCTAAATCATAACTTAGAGGTTGCGATGAGCTGAGATCATACCACTGCACTCTAGCATGGGCAAAAAAAGTAAACTCCATCTAAAAAAAAAAAAAAAAAAAAATAAATAAATCAATAATAATAATAGAAATCAAAGTGTATAGATTATAATATACCACAGACAGGCGGGACGCAGTGGCTCATGCCTGTAATCCCAGCACTTTGGGAGGCCCAGGCAGGTGGATCACCTGAGGTCAGGAGTTCGAGATCAGTCTGGTCAACATGGTGAAACCCTGTCTCTACTAAAAATACAAAAATTAGCTGGGCATGGTGGTGGGTGACTGTAATCCCAGCTACTTGGGAGGCTGAGGCAGGAGAATAGCTTGAACCTGGGAGGTGGAGATTGCAGTGAGCTGAGATCATGCCATTGCACTCCAGCCTGGGGGACAAGAACAAAACCTGTCAAAAAAAAGAAGAAGGAAGGAAGGAAAAGAAAGAGGGAGGGAGGGAAGGAAGGAAGGAAGAGAAAGAAGAGGAAGAGGAAGGAAGGAAGGAAGGAAGAGAAAGAAAGAGGGAAGGAAGGAAGGGAGACCATATTCATACTAGTAGCTGCTTATGACTAATACAAGGACGAGGGTTAGAAGGGATTCCAACTTTATAATACATTCTTTCTTTTATATAATAATAATAATAATAAAGACAGCCAGGCACAGTATCTCATGCCTGTAAACCTAGTGCTTTGGGAGGCTGAGGTGGGAGGATCATTTAAGCCCAGGAATTCAAGACCAGCCTGGGCCACAGAGCAAGACTCCATCTCTACAAAAATTTTAAAACAATTAGCCAGGTATGGTAGCCTGTGCCTCTAGTCCCAGTTACTAGGGAGGCTAAGGCAAGAAAATCATGTGAGCCCAGGAGGTCGAGGCTGCAGTGAGCTATGACAGTGCCACTGCACCTGCACTCCAGCCTGGGTGACAGAGTGAGACCTTGTCTCTCTTTAAAAAAAAAGTGAAGCAAATATCACAAAATATTAACAACAGTCAGTGTTGATTCTGTGGTAGGAACATATTTGTTTGCAATATCATGCTCTGTACTTTTCTGTATCTTAAAAACCTTCCTGGCCAGGCGCGGTGGCTCATGCCTGTAATCCCAGCACTTTGGCAGGCCGAGGTGGGTGGATCATGAGGTCAGGAGTTTGAGACCAGCCTGGCCACCGTGGTGAAACCCCATCTCTACTAAAGATACAAAAAATTAGCCGGGGGTGATGCTGCGTGTCTGTAATCCCAGCTTCTTGGGAGACTGAGGCAGGAGAATTGCTTGAATCCGGGAGGCAGAGGTTGCAGTGAGCCTACATTTTGCCATTGCACTTCAGCCTGGGTGACAGGGGGAGACTCCATCTCAAAAAAGAAAAAAAAAATCCCCCTTCCCATACAAATATGCCTAGTTAATAAAAGCAATCCTAAAAGATTACATACAGTATGTATGTAATTTTTTACTTTTTTTTTTTTTTTTTTTTTTAGAGTTTATTAAGCAGGGGAGCGGAGGGGTGATGTGGCACAAATAGAAGTATGTAACATTCAAACAACAAAATCTGGGATTTTTGAAAAAATCTTTCAGTTACGGTTACACAAAGGGTCACTTCCTCCCCCAATGACACAGGGACCTCTCAAAAGAGAGGAGGGAGTAAGTCCCATGGTAGGGCCACTGGTTGCTCCTGGATTTCAGAATGATTTCTGCAGAGGTTTCAAGACCCTGGGCTCAGGGTCGAGACTTCATAGTGGGGCAGCTAGACCCAGCAAGATGGCTGCGACGGTGAAGCCCTGGGCGGCGATCCAGGCATGCATCTTGAGCTGTGAGCACTGGCTGTTGCCCTGGTGGAAGCAGTAGAGGCCTTCGGTGAGGGCGGCCGCCGTGCCCAGGCAACCTATGGGTACCACCGTGTTCTCGCACACCTTGCGAAGGAACCTTTCCTTGAAACCCTCTGGATGGCTGTAAACAGTGGGCTAACCCCTCAATGACGGGAGGCTTCGATGATTCAGAGGGGGCCTCCAGAGTCACAGAGCCTGAAGTCGCCATGCCCGGGCCACAGTTGCAGGAGAAAATCCTTTTTCTAATTTTTTTTATTTTTGAGACGGAGTCTCGCTCTGTAGCCCAGGCTGGAGTGCAGTGGTGCAACCTTAGCTTACTGAAACCTCTGCCTCCCTGGTCCCAGTTCAAGCAACTCTCCTGCTTCAGCCTCCTGAGTAGCTGGGATTATAGGAATGTGCCACCATGCCAGGCTAATTTTTGTATTTGTATTTTTACTAGAGATGGGGTTTCACCATGTTGGCCAGGCTGGTCTCGAACTCCTGACCTGATGATCCGCCCACCTCGGCCTGCCAAAGTGCTGGGATTACAGGCGTGAGCCACCGCGCCCAGCCTACATGTTTTATATAAACCATGTTATTTGATACAACAACTTGGAAAGGACAAAATTATAGAAATGGAGAATAGATTAGTGGCTGCAGGGGTTAGGAATGGGGAGGTGGTGGGAAGGAGGTATATGTTTATTAAAGGGTAACAAGAGGGAGGCTTGTGGTGATGGAACTCTTTATATCTTGACTATGATGAGAGATACACAAAACCTACACGTGTGACAAAACTGCACAGAACTAAATACACACAAATGAAGGACAAGTGGGGAAGTCTAAATCAGATTGGTTGACTGTATCAATGTTAACATTCTGGCTGTGCTATTACACAATAGTTTTGGAAGATGTTACCATGGGATAACTGTAGAAAGGGTACATGTGATCTGTCTATTATTTCTTATGACTGTAGGTGAATCTACAATTATCTCATAAGATAAAGGGCGTGGTGGCTCACACCTGTAATCCCAGCACTTTAGGAGGCCGAGGCCAGCAGATCACTTGAGGCCAGGAGTTTGAGACCAGCCTGGCCAACATGGTGAAAGCCCATCTCTACTAAAAATACAAAAATTAGCCAGGTGTGGTGGCACACTACTCAGGAACTACTCAGGAGGCTGAGGCAAGAGAATCGCTTGAACCCAGGAGGCAGAGGTTGCAGTGAGCCAAGATCACACCACTGCACTCCAGCCTGGGTGATGGAGTGAGACTCTGTCTCAACAACAACAACAAGACTGCAAGGGAATAATGTTCTGTTTGGGAAAGAGATTGGATGTAAATAGGGGGTCTGGTAGCTGGGTGTGGTAGCTCACACCTATAATCCCAACACCTTGGAAAACTGAGGCAAGAGGATCACTTGAACCTAGGAGTTCGAGACCAGCTTGGGCAATATAGCGAGATTCTGTATCTATAAAAAATGAAAAAAATTAGCTGGGCACGGTAATGCATGCCTGCGGTCTCAAGTACTCAAGAGGCTGAGGCAAGAGGATCAATTGAGCATCCAGAAGTTGAGGCTACAGCGAGCCATAATCATGCCACTGCACTCCAGCCTGGGCAATAGGCAAGACTGTGTCGCTAAAAATTAAAAAAAGAAAAGAAAAGAAAAAATAGAATATATAAAAGTAAATGAAAATTAAAAATAGGGGTCTGGAGCTGGTAGGGAAGAAACAGAGCTGTATGGGAGAATACTTTCCCTTGTTGATATGTGGTCTGTGTCCCCTTTTTCTCCTCTTATTTTCATTTGC